AAGACTGGTGTCATTTTACTATAATAACATACATTACACGGTGAACCAATCGACCCAAAATAAGCAATTCGATGATCTCATCAAGAAAATTGGATTACGGAATCACAGCGTGATGGCACATAATCCAAAGGGCAATGAAATATATAATATAACATTCATAGAATTTGTTAAGATGGTCATTCACCACTATTCCTATGGGGTATATATGCCACTCGGTGGGCATTTAGTCAAACAATATCGAAGATCATATGTGTGCTCATTTAAGTACGATTTTATCGGTCATTTTGAACATTTAGGTGAGGATGCTGCGTGCGTTCTTGAGATGATTGGCCTTGATAGTATATATCGTTTCCCAGACATTCATGCACAGAAAGGGAATTTGAGATACACAGAAGCACTGGGAAGTTTACCCAAAGATGTTCTTGAAAGTCTTATTGAAGTGTATCGGTTAGATTATGAAATTTTTGGGTATAGAATTCCTACATTTGAAGAGTTTAAGGTTAAGCATGGATTGTAATACACTAAGCTATCGTATTGTATTTTTGATCAATCGAGGCATTTTCACTGTGATTCATGGCCTGATAAAGTTTGTAATTGTTTCATCCTATAGTCAAAATAAGTTTTGTGGAAAGCAAGCTGTTGGCGGTGATTAAATTGTGTTGTTAAAAAGCTGCTCCGAGTTCAATGGTTGTTTTTACACGAGTAGGTTGTACTATAGTTATGTAATAGGTTCATACAGTGGTGTTTGACTCTAATTATTAAAATATGTAGGTAGGGTTGTGTCTCATGCCATATTATTAGGTTATGAGGATTTTCTCTTTTTTTCTGAATTTACATTATTATTGTTATTGCCGTTCATTACTGCTAAGGAAGTTTCTAATATATTTTCATTTCCTTATTTTATGTTTCATTTTCATTCTTTGTGGTAAATCCATGTTTTACTTCTATAAGTTTATACGCATTATAATGCTTGAAATGTGCCACATAAAGGTCACCTTCGTTCTCATACCAAGAAAAGTCATGCCGTAACTTTATAATAATTTATATTATTGTCGGCTCTAAATGACATTGAAGCCCAAACACAATTGTCTGAACTTATTAGAACAACATCTACGTATTTTATATCATTGTGAAGTAATTTCATTTGTTTCATTTGTATATTTATTGTTGTACAAATCAACGTGTCTGGCTCTAAATTCTGTAACAACGAGAGGCTATAATTACTCAAGACCAAAACTATATGTCTACGACATAAGACGGTACACGTGTCATCAACTTTTCATATATTTTTTTTTCGGAGACAAACTGCTTAAGCAATTGCAAAAAAAATAGCATAATAACGTTAAAACATTATTTGTATACTTGAATATTAATAATCAGAATGTCTTTATAGTTCTTAAATATCAAAAAAACTACATATATCTTAACTTTGGAAGCAATATATGATAAATGGCTCCAAAACAGACATTTTGCAACAACTATTAGGCGACCATATAATTTTTTATCTGCGTTTAGTGAACTGTGCATACAATAAAACACATTGTTAACATTAAAGTGCCTGTGAAATGGCTGCTAATTTCACGCCTAAAATTATCATTTGATACATAAATATTATTAATTTTATTTATGTTTCTAAGCATGAATTATTTTTTTAAGTGAAAAAAATGTGTTTTAAACTCAGTCTACGGCAACTTTATTTTTGTGTATTTTAAACGAGGCTCCTCATTAGCTTCTCGTTTGCATACAGAAATTCCCCTTGTGACGTCAGAAGGGAAGTCGCATGGCAGCTTGCATTGCCGATACGTGTAAATAAGGCAAATTTCTTGTGCAGTTTTCTCGTCTTTGACTAAATTGTCACTTATGTACTTGTTCGTCGAGGAAGAATGGACCATAATGAACACATAGTATCAATTTTTGTTGCATGGAGTTGAGTTAGATGCGAAATATGTCCGTTCTGGTGTAGCTGGTCACCGTGATCGTCACCGACACCGGCGCACGTTTGTACACTGTCGCTGAACAAAATAGAATTTGACGTCGGAATTATCTCGTTATTTAGCAGGTTACTAGGCACGTCACTACACTGTTTTATTTCATCGATCGTCTGAGTAAAACTTTCAAAATTAAAATAAAAGAGAACATATTTTGACATTCTAAACATTAGACTATAGTGATCACTATAAAATAATTAA